AAGTGGGGCTTCTAAATTTGGAGACTGCCATAGGTTAATAGTTGCTTTTGAAACTGTCAGCGCATTTATCGCCCTTAGAAATTTTGTCCTTCTGGTCTATGTGAGTCCTCCAGTACATCATTGAAACCTGAGTAGGCAGCTGTAAAGCCTCTGATAAAACAGCCATCACTTTTCTATGGGTTATCTAAGTTCCAATTGATAGGAAAAATTCTCCCTTCAAGAAATTTACCTGGAACCTTGGAGCACAGTGGTATGGTGGCAGCGGCAGTGTCCCTGAGGCGCCAGCTACAGCGACCTCAGTGCCTGTGAGGGGCCCCTGCGACCCTGGGAGGGCCCTCCACTGAGCAGACCAGGCTATGTGCCACAGGCTTCCTTCCAGCCATCGAATGCCCCAAGGGGCTGCAGCACCCGGGGAGCCTTTAAAAAATTTCTCCTGTTGCATGGCAAACATCAGACATATATTTTTTAACAGTACACATATTCCTTGTAAGTGCAAAACACAATTATAGTTCTCGTGTAACTGCTATTACCCTAGCTGCTTGTACTGATTTAATTCCAGACCAAAACACAAAACAAGTACCCCACCCCACCCCTGAAAACCCCCCAAGCTTCCAAATTTCAAAGAAGTCATCATAATATTGCATCAAAGCCAATTTCAATTGTTCAAAGGCTCTTCATCCCAAACCAGAGGATGAATTATCTTGGAGAATTATCATGCAGTTTTTTCCAGCAGATGTTTTGTCTAATCTGCAAATGTTGGGCTCTGTTTTGTACAATTCTGTATTAGTCCCATAAATGACTTTTGTGTGTGTGTATGTGTGTGTGTGTGTGTGTGTGGTAAGATGTTTACTGATTCCTAGATGGAAAGTGGTAAGAATCCACCTGCCGATGCAGGAGATGCAAGAGATGTGGGTTTGATTCTGGGTCAGGAAGAGCCCCTGGAGTAGGAAATAGAAACCCACTCCAGTACTCTTGTCTGGAAAATCCCATGGACAGAGGAGCCTTGTGGGCTACTGTCCATAGGATTTCAAAGACTTGGACATGACTGGGCGACTGAACCCATGAGCACAGACTGTAAAACTCTGTGACATATAGCTGATAACAGATGCCTCAAGCATTTATGCAATTTGTCTGTAAGGCCTTATGCCCCTGTGAAGGAAAGAATTGTGGCAAAGCCAAATTACAAATCTTTCATGCACTCTAATTGCTGATACTACCAGCAAATCATCTACATTGAATGATTACAGATCCCTCCATGGGTGGGACAAATCTCTCTCTCACTTTTTGTTTTATAAATGATTTTTAAAAATGGAGTCCCCAAAGCCTTTAGGAATCCTTTGCCATAGATATGGGATACTAGATTCTGATATAAGCTAAAGCAATACTAATTTAGATTTACCTGTGAGAAATGCAGAGCATAGATCGACTACAATGAAAAACTTTGCAAACGATATTGAAATCAGAACAGTTGCAGGGTTAGGAACCACACAGATAATGGAACAACACATATATTTACTTCTTTGAAATTTTGTAGAAAGCTTTAAAGTCACTGACCATTGATATAAAATTAACCTTCCTTCTTTATTGGAGGCATGGGAGTATTACAGAATGAGCATTTTTATTTTTTCATTTCATTTAGAATGAGCGTTTTTTAAACTACCCCTTATTTTTCTGATTCTGTTATAACTGGTTCTAGAGCTCAAAGTGATGCATCAACCTATTCCAGCTCAGAGTATTTGTCCCGCATAGGGCCACCCTGCCACTCTTTGCAGTATCCCTTTTCTTTCAGACAGCACACAGTAACCAAATCACGTGCCTTTTCCTCCTTAGAGCTCTGCAGATATTCTACCAGAGTATAGAATATGCTGGCTTTTAAGGTGCACAGCAGATCTCTTCCCGGGAGATCAGGCGAAAGTAAGAAAATTTGAACTTCATTCAGAAGACCCATTTTTATGGAAACCTCGGAGGAAGAGAAACATGGTGGATCCAATTCACTGGTATCTTACATTGATTTATCACCAAAAGGAAGTGAGAAATTCTCAAGGAAATTGCAAATTAAGTAGCACCACTATGACCATTTCACTAGTTTTTTCCTTCTGAGATCCTTGAACTTGTCAATTCTAATCAACTTGTCAATTATTTCCTAGCCTCTTGCCTTTCTTGCTCCCCATGTTCATTTCCTTGCAATAATTACATGTTTTCTCTTTGCTTTCCTTTCCTTCATGGGTTATTCAGAATAGAAATTGCTTCTTTCAGTAACGAGTTGCAACTAAGTAGCCGACACTGCAGTTTTAAGTTTATTCCTTTTTTCTTTATCCTCTTCCAGGTTGTCCCCCAAACTAAGTGGTCACTGTTAAGATTTAAGCAGTAGTCTATACTGTCCATCCTCCCACCTTTTCCCTAACTTGAGTTTGGATAATCAGTAAGAAAGTCAGGACAAAAGTGCTTAGGGCCATAGGGTAATGATGTGTCCTTGAATCCATGCCAGTACTGTTTGAACAAGACTCAATAAACCACTGATTGAAATCAACATGGGAATATACACATCTTCTGGATTCACCACTGCAACTTCTCTGAGCTCACTTGTAGCAGAAAGTCTTCAGTGATTGCTCATTAGTAACCCCTCTGCCTGGATTTCTAGAGTCCTTAGATCTTCCAGAGTCCTGTGGGTGGGTAGGCGGCAGTGGATAGCTGGCTTCTCTTGACCACCATATTCTTTGATGTGGTGATCTTCTGAATGCACTGGTGCCATCAAAGGAGCAGAGTCAGCTGGTGGCAGGAGGTCATTCTTTGGCCAGTGCACATCTACATGCATGAGGTTTTAAACTGGACACCTGCACAGAGTACATTAGCAAACATCTAGGGCATTGGGAAAAGAGTTTTTTTTTAAAGTAAGGGACTTCCCTGGAGGTCCAGGAGTTAAGACTTTGTCTTCCAATGCAGGGGGTATGAGTTCAATTCATGGTCAGAGAGCTAACATCCCACATGCCTCGCAGCTGGAAAAACAACAACAACAACAACAACAACAACCCAAAACATACAACATTAGCAATATTATAGCAAATTGTCATTGTTGTTTAGTTGCTCAGTCAGGTATGACTATTTACAACCCCATGGACTGTAGCCTGCCAGGCTACTCATGAGATTTCCCAGACAAGAATACTGGAGTAGGTCACCATTTTCTTCTCCAGGGGATCTTTCTGACCTAGGGATCAAACCCAAGTCTCTTGCATTGCAGGTGGATTATTTACCACTGAGTCACCAGGAACAAATTCAATAGAGACTTAAAAAATGATCCACATAAAAAAAAAATCTTAAAAATAAATAAGTTATATCAGCTGGCAAGAAAGTTATGAAAACTATCCTGGGTAGCTTCCATAGCTGGTGATTCAAATAGGAAGATCTGATTTTCCTCATATTAAGATAAAAAAGTATGTAAATTAGATGGCATTTTGGTTTTTTTCCTGTAACAACAATCATCAGCTTAATACCTTGTTCATTTGCCTTTTTCAAGTACCCTTCATATGCAGAAACAATATTTTATTTAAGTTCTATGTCATCAGGTCTATTCATCATGTCTGCTTTCCTAGCTACATGGTACATGAATGAGATTGGACTCCTAGAGGTGGATCTGAGCTATGAGGTATATTCAGGCCTATAGGTTACTAGACAAAACTAGTAGGACAACCTAGGAGCAGCATTACTTAAATAGATAATTATAGGATTAAGAACTCCAAAACCAGCCTTAGGAAAGTGAAACTCCTAGAAAAACTCCTAGAAACTCCTTAGAAAGACAGGTATGCTGAATTCCAGGAATACATGGACTGTGACAGCTTTGGCTCATTTTGTAATCCTTTGACTAATACATGACTAAGTACAAAGTAAACATATAATATTTGCTTATACAATAAATGATTTTCACATGGTTAAACTGAAAATTGGATTGCATATTCAGCATATGGTAAGCATCAGATAAATATTTTTTGGTTGGATGAATGAATGATGGAGCTTGGATAATAATGAATTCTCTATTTTCTTGCCCAAAGCCCAGTTCACTACACTAAACAGTGGTTTTTGACTGTCAATGTTTCATTTTCATGGTGTTAGCCTGAAGTTGACTGGATTATTGGTAGTTGGTTTTTTTTTTACCTCCTACTAAATTTTGCCACAAGTCAATCATAAAATCAGATAATCACTCAATCTTTAGAGTGATTGATGTTTGTTTTTAAAAATTTTTAAAGCTTTTGCTTTTTAGAGTAGTTTTACAGCAATGGTTAGGTGCAAAAATTCTCATGTGATAAAGGGACTCTGTAAGGCATTTGGGGGTAAGCAAGCAGCACTCATCACCTAATACTCTCAAAGAGGAATAAGGGATATTCCGGTACATCCCCTACCCCTACACAAACATGGCCTTCTCATTAATAATACCCACCCAAGAGTGGTACATTTATTACAATTGTTGAACCTACATTTATACATTATAATCCTGTGAAGTATCTGTATTTATGTGGAAAATGGAGGAAATATCACTTATTATCAACTTGTTTGAGGCGGGGTATACTTGGGAACCCATGTCTGTGTCGGAAGAGTGTTCAGATCACCACGGATATTTGTTTGACACAGCTCCTGTGTAAAAGAAACCTCTTGGAAAAGCTGTAATAAGCACATTTTGCCCTGAATGGTTTCATGTTGCTTCGTTACCTCACAAACCAAAAGTAAAAAGCTGTTTATTTGTTCTAGAAAATTCTTGCCCTTCTCATTTTCAGTGAGAAAAACAAATAGAAGTTTAACTATAGCCCAGAACAGCAACGCTGGCCTTTTCAAGGGTGGGGGTGATCATGGATAGAGCGACATGGAGCCCTCAGGGACCTTTGAGAGTATTCGGTGGTGAGTGCTGCTTGCTCACCCCCAGGCGCCTTGCAGAGCCCCTTTATCACGTGAGAATTTTGGCACCTAATCATGTGGTTGGTTAGTCCATCTTCTGGTACTTCATGTCTCAGGTCTCAGCTGAGAAAGGTGAAGAAGTCCTGGGGGAAATTGTCTACTGTGGACAGGTAATCTCCACTATGGGTGAAGAACTTAGGCATCTGGCTTGCTATGACTCCCACAGCAGCAGGGAGTCCTGGGACCGGGAGTCCTGGGACCTGAAGTCCTGGGACCAGGAGTACTTGGACCTGAAGTCCTGGGACCTGGAATCCTGGGACCAGGAGTACTGGGACCCGGAATCCTGGGACCAGGAGTACTGGGACCAGGAGTCCTGGGACCTGGATTACTGGGACCAGGAGTCCTGGGACCTGGATTACTGGGACCCGGAGTCCTGGGACCAGGAGTCCTGGGACCTGAAGTCCTGGGACCAGGAGTCCTGGGACCTGGATTACTGGGACCCGGAGTACTGGGACCCGGAGTCCTAGGACCAGGAGTACTGGGACCCGGAGTCCTGGGACCTGACCACAGCTGGCACCATCACCCAGTGCTACTGAGACATGAGTGCCTGGCACGGTGCCCGGGGCCCACTCAATCCAGATCGTGAATGTGGAGGAGACAGCAGCCAGCAAGTGCTGCTGATCAGCGATCAAGCAGTTTCAGGACTCCAAAATCAAGTTCCCACTGCCCCACTGGGTTCTCCGTAGCCAGTACAAGCCACGCTTCACCACCAATAGGCCCAATACCTTCTTTTAGGTGCAGGCCCTCACTGACCCTGTGTCTGCCCAAGTAAAACTCAGTGGGAAAACTGGAAAAAAAAATGCTGGAAGCTTAGCTGATAAGGAATTTTCTACCTTTCTCAGGTCTGGGAGAGAGTGGGGTCAGTTTTAAACCTTCTATAAGTTCGGCATGTAATCTTTCTTCCCTCGGTTTCTAAGAACGGTATTTGTAGGGACATGCATCATTACCAGAATAAAAGATCTTTACAGATATGAGTCTTGAGTCTAGAGAATTACCAAAAGAGACAACATTTTTGCATATTTTCTAGCTGTCTCTTCATCTCTCTTCTCAGCACCCAAAGTGCTAGTACCCTTAGACTGGCCTCTGGCAGACACCAGAAAACATTAATTGAGGGACATACTTCAAAATACCTGAGCAATATTTCTTAAAACTGTCAAGATTATCAAAAACAAGGAAAGTCTGAAAAACTGTCACAGCCCAGAAAAGCCTAAGGAGACATTACTAGAAAATAGAAGGTGGAATCCTGTGTAGGATCCTGGAACAAAACAGAAGTATTAGGTGAAAGATAAGAAAATTTGAATAAAGTATGAACTTTAGTTAATAATAGTACTTCAATATTAACAGAAGCTGTTAATAAAAGGGATAACTGGGTGTGGGGTATATGAGAACTCTCAGTAATTGCAGTTTTTCTAAATCTAAAACTCCAAAATTAAGGAAAAAGTTGTTTTAAAGTGAAGGAGAAAAATGATGGAGTGATGGAGTGAGGACCTAGGTAAATACCAGCCTCCAAATGATAAAAACTGCAAGATCATCAAAGATGACCATTGTCAAAAGTCAAAAAGTGACACTGAGGATCCAGCTTCTGAAAATCTTATTCTTCTCTCACTTCATTGAGTAACACAAGATAAAGTCAAAATCTGTCCACAGAGCAACACTGTTGACAGCTCCTGGGAAATGGTTTAGAAGAGGATGGGGTCAATTTCATTGGTTCTTCATTTCAGACGACTAACTAGTTCTCCCCTTAAACTTAACACTAATGACCAGAAGGACATATGTCATTGCCAGAATAAGAGAAGATTTTTCCAGACACACGCTAGGGTCCAAGTGCAGAGTGGAACAGAATTTTTGTGCGTTCTCTGTTGGTTCTCACCTCAGCTGGTTCTCTAGCTCTTGTGCCCTTAGGCTGCTTTCTGGAGATTTGAAGTCCCCCCACTGATTATCTCCTAAGACCTGTACCTCATGACTTGCCCCCATACTCCCAAGTTTCTTATTTTTTAATGTCATTATAATAAATGGGGTTTCCCAGGTGGCTCAACGGTAAAGAATCCAGCCGCCGATGCAGGAGATGCAGGAGCTGAAGATTCGATCCCTGGGTCTAGAAGATCCTCTGCAGAGGAAAAGGCAACCCACTCCAGCATTCTTGCCTGGAAAATCCCAGTCCGTGGGGTCACAAAGAGTAAGATACAACTTAGTGACTAAGCACATAATAGATGACCGTATTTCCAATAGCAATAAATAACAGCTCTTGAGTGATTTACTCAGTGCCAGGCAAACACCCATGATCTGATTAGAATAAATCAGTCATCATGTCACATGTATTTTCACATCTTTCTTACTTTCTTAGGGTTGTTGTTTCTTAAGGTAGAAATGAGAACATGTTATAATGGTAATATTTTATAACTGCAGATGGGTTTATTAGTTATAACCTAGTTGCTGTTATGCCTGCTGGTTTATTTGTGATTGTCTTAACAAATTACCACAAACTTAGTGGCTTAAAATAGCACAGATTTATTCTCTTATAGCTCTGTAGGTAAGAAATCTGAAATGGGTCTCACTGGGCTAAAATCAGTGTTGGCATAGTTGCATTCCTTACAGCAGTTCCCAGGGGAGAATCTGTTTTCCTGCCTTTTCAAGTTTCTAGAAGCTGCCTGTGTTCTTGGATTGTGGCCCCTTTCCATCATCTGAGCCAATCTAGTCAAGATTTTTTCATATTGTGTCACTCTGATAATAATTCTTTTGCCTCTGTCTTTCATCTTTTAGAGACCTTTGTGATTCAAGATATTCCAGAATAATCTCCCTATTTTAGGTGAGCTGATTAGCAAGCTTAATTCCATCCTTAACCTTAATTCTCACTTTCCATGTAGGACATGAACATCTGTGGAGGGTCATTTGTCTACCTACCACAGTAGTTTATTCCAAATTTGAGAGAACAAGCTTTAACTGTATGATGTCTTTCTGATTTTGAAAGTTTCTAGACACCTACACTTAACTATAACTATATAGATTGTCCCTTTCATCTCTACATATCTACATCTGTAATTTAGCCTCATAAAATTACTCTTTCCCTCTCCCTCTATTTTTGAGATAGTTTAAAGCTAGGAGATTTTGTTTATCATCATCTCTCCTAAACCTCGTGTCCAAGCCCTTCTCATCATGGACTTCTAGTTTCAATTCCAAACACCATTGCAATTTTATAGTTGGTGGATTTGATATGTTCCATTTCTTCATCTCTTTAGTCATGTTCGTTGTAGAGAGCAAAGGACAGAAGTCTTAATGTGAGACTTGTTTCTCCTGAAGTCAGAGAGATGCTTTCCCAGAGCCAGTTCTCTGGAGTTTGTTCAGATTCATAACCAGTGGTCATATTCTACCTATAGAAACTGTTTTGAAAGTTCAGTTCAGTTCAGTCGCTCAGTCGTGTTTGACTCTTTGCAACCCCATGGACTGCAGCACGCCAGGCCTCCCTGCCCATGTCCATCACTAACTCCTGGAGTTTACCCAATCTCATGTCCATTGAGTTGGTGATGCCATCCAGCCATCTCATCCTCTGTCGTCCCCTTCTCCTCCTGCCCTCAATCTGTCCCAGCATCAGGGTCTTTTCAAATGAGTCAGCTCTTTGCATCAGGTGGCCAAAGTATTGGAGTTTCAGCTTCAACATCAGTCCTTCCAAAGAACTCCCAGGACTGATCTCCTTTAGGATGGACTGGTTGGATCTCCTTGCAGTCCAAGGGACTCTCAAGAGTCTTCTCCAACACCACAGTTCAAAAGCATCAATTCTTCAGCACTCAGCTTTCTTTACAGTCAAACTCTCACATCTGTACATGACTATTGGAAAAACCGTAGCCTTGACTAGATGGACCTTTGTTGGCAAAGTAATTTCTCTGCTTTTTAATATGCTGTCTACGTTGGTCATAACTTTCCTTCCAAGGAGTAAGCATCTTTTAATTTCATGGCTTCAGTCACCATCTGCAGTGATCTTGGAGCCCAGAAAAATAAAGTCAACCACTGTTTCCACTCTTTCCCCATCTACTAGCCATGAAGTGATGGGACCACATGCCATGATCTTAGTTTTCTGAATGTTGAGCTTTAAGCCAACTTTTTCACTCTCCTCTTTCACTTTCATCAAGAGGCTCTTTGCTTCTTCACTTTCTGCCATAAGTGTGGTGTCATCTGCATATCTGAGGTTATTGATATTTCTCCTAGTAATCTTGATTCCAGCTTGTGCTTCCTCCAGCCCAGCATTTCTCATGATGTAGTCTGCATAGAAGTTAAATAAGCAGGGTGATAATATACAGCCTTGAGATACTCCTTTTCCTGCTTGGAACCAGTCTGTTGTTCCATGTCCAGTTCTAACTGCTGCTTCCTGACCTTCATACAGATTTCTCAAGAGGCAGGTCAGGCAGTCTGGTATTCCCATCTCTTTCAGAATTTTCCACAGTTTATTGTGATCCACACATTCAAAGGCTTTGGCATAGTCAATAAACCAGAAATAAATGTTTTTCTGGAACTCTCTTGCATTTTCAATGATCCAGCGGATGTTGGCAATTTGACCTCCAGTTCTGCCTTTTCTAAAAGCAGCTTGAACATCTGGAAGTTCACGGTTCATGTATTGCTGAAGCCTGGCTTGGAGAATTTTGAAAGTAGGAAATACATTTATTGACCTGTTATTTTCACACTTATGTCTTCATGGGTAGTAATGTACCCAAAGCTGTGTGAGTACTCAATGAGAAATCATTTTCAGCAAGTAGAGTGGGGTTGGTTTTTTTTTTTTTTAAGGTTGGCATTTTTCCCTCCCATAGAAGGAAAATGTTTACTATTCATTAAACATTTTGAATGCACCAACCATAATTTTTCAGGTTTAATTTAGTAGCAGACTTGACTAATAGGAATTCACAGTTTCAAGGCTAAGATTAAGTAAGAATTAATGAACCTCTTTAAAGTGGTTAATTCAAAATTGTTCCTTTAATCCCTAAGTTGTGTCTGACTGACTCTTTTGCCACTTCAGGACCGCCAACCAGACTCCTCTTTCCCTGAGATTTCTTAGCCAAGAGTAATGGAGTAGATGGCCCTTTTGTCCTCTAGCAGATCATCCCAACCCAGGCCCTGAACCCATGTCTCCTGCTTTGGAGGTGAATGCTTTTCCACTGAGCCACCAAGGAAGCCCAAGGTTAATTTAACTTAACATAAAACATAATCAAAACACCAGTTCAATATGTTAATGTGTAAATGTAAGCAATGATTAAGTAAACAAGTGCTGAACTTATTTACTTGTTAGGTAAAGCCAAACCAAACCAAAACAAAACAGACACACACACACACACACACACACACACACACTCTTGTTACAACACCGAGAAGAAAATTCCAATAATTTTGTTAGGAAGACAATGTATCTTACTGTCACGTTAATTATGGTTTGAAAAATTTGCACCCCGGATAGGGTGGCTTGAATCTAGAAATCTGTTTTTGA